TTATGAATAGCCACATGTAAGACATCAGCGCTTCGAGTAGTCTGCCATCTATCCACGCTAGACAGTTGTACTACCGAAGGAGGACACGTGTATGCACGTTAGCATGAGGTAATGACTAATAAAATAACGCCATATTAACAAAAAACGTTGGCCAGAGTAATCTCTTATTGTTTACATGCCTAATAGAAAATAATATTCCTTAAAGCTTTCTTAATAATGAACTCCCCCCCCCTCCACCCATAGCCTACAGGATTTCAACGCCATGCAAGTAGTGATCGGAAGTAAGCGTGAATGGTATGTTGGTATTAGACAATTATTTAAAACATCGTTATATGCCTTTGAAGCCCTGCGCATGGCCTCGTTGAGCACAGTGCCGTCATGATGCTGTCACTGCACAGCGTTAAGTCGTGATGGTTTTGAGCAATTCAACGACACCTGAAACCATGGTATTGTTTCTTGTGATGTTATACACAATTGGCACCATAGTGTCTACCTCTCTGTCTTCTGATCATTAATATCATGAATTAAAACCATGGAACAGCAATCTCACAATTCTTACCTAGGTCTGTTTCCTTTCAATGGTTTCTATTCACCTGGTCGACACTACGAAGATGCCTGCGGAGAAGCCACTGGTGAGCGGGTGTGTATTGCAGTAAGACACAAGTGTAACTTGGAAGGGGAACACAGGATGCTGCAAGACTGGCTGATCACACGTCATTAAGAGGTCGTCAATAGAGGAGATCGTTAGATGATCAGTAGAGAAAGGGGAGGGAGACGACAGCTGGTCGTCAAGTCATCAACGAGAGATCGTCTTCAACTGGAGATTGATTGGTTATCAAGTTAACTGGGAAATGTTGGGGAGCAGGGAGGGGAAGGAAAATGTTATGTCAGCAACAGAGAATCATTAGAAGATCAGAGAGTCGTGTAACTAGTTAATTTATAAAATGGGGTATGTCAGGTGATTGGCAAATCGGTGATTAGTGAGACAGGCGATTAGGAAGTGAGGTGATGAGTCCATTAGATGACAAGTGGGCCATGTGATCACTGGTAAATAGACGAGATAAAAACACATCCTTCACTGCACAAGCAAAAACAAGGTGTAGCACTCATAAAAACTTCTCCCACATTGCTAGAGAGGTTCCTACTTAGAGGTACTGCCGAAGGTGATCTCTGCCACTGCAGCACCAACCTCCTCACTCCCTGAAAAGAATACATGCCATTTTTCACCTGTGAGAAAACACATGCTGGTGGGAGCAGAAGTAGAGTGACAATAGTAGTAGTAGCAACAACGGTGGGCTGAAATGGTTAATGGTGGGAGAAGTAGCAGCAGTAGCACTGGTAGTAGTAATGGTTTCAGTAGTAAGAATGGTAGCAGTGGCAATACTAGAAATAGCAAAGCTTGCAGTAGTGGTAAACATAAAAATGAATGGTAGACAGTAATGATACAAGTTGTAATAGTATAGATGGTATTAGTAATAGCAGAAGTAAGTAATTATCAAAAGAAGGCACCATGCCGGGGGTAATAGCAGAAGTAAAGGCATTATAAGTGATAAATTCAGTTTCGGATATTGCCATAGAAATTGATGATTATTATTGTAGGAATAACAATAGAGATAGAACTAACTGTAGCACAAATCGTATTGACAGTACTAGAATTCAAAGTGGTATGAATAGTAATGGCAGAAGAAATGACAGTGGTCACAGTAGTAAAATAAGGAGCATTTCAAATTACTATAGAAGTATCAGCAGCAGTAGCGAGGGGTAGTGATGGTGGCAGTGCCAATATAAGGTACGAGCCACGTGACACAAATACTTAGGGGTGGTTGGCTCCCCTCACCGCAGCCACGGTAAGGTCAGCTGCTTCATATCACAGGGAACATTAAAGTTTTATAATCGTTAAGTTTACATCGTAGCATTCAGTTTTATGTTATTAAATCTAGAAATAGCATTTCATATGTTTCGACTCGAGACATGACTCTTGGGAGAGCCTAGCGAAACATCTACATTTGTATTTACAAGTCTAATATCTGCCTATTGCCCTTATACACTGCGTTGAATACAAAATTAATAGATATAAAACGAGCTGAGTGACATAGACAAGGACTCCCCCTTCCCATGTGGGCCTACACCTGTGTTTGAGAATAGAGGCGTTCGGAATAATTTTGCTCGGACTGCCCGGCTTCTGGATCATATAATAGGATTTAAAACTAAATTCCAAATTAGGTGTTCATACAACATTGTAACGGAAATGATTGTATCTATAAGTTGGATTTCATCAATGTGGTTTGAATGTGTTTTACTACTCGGTGAGATCAGAGTATGGTTAAGTATCTTCCTTGACACGCACAATGAGTTCAAAGTAACACAATGTTAATTTGAGAAATAATGAGGCAATTCAATCGGATCGAACTCTTATCTCTGGCCTCTGACACACGCACCACCGACTGAACCATAATGAGCTCAGCAGTCAATCAGAACTACCTGACTTACAAGGAGCTTGGAAGGCACCATCCCGTACCACGGTCTGTTTTACGAAATACCTGCTACTCAGGTGTTGGTAGTGATCTTCTCCATCATTCGCCTCCGTCAAAATGAAATGACAACCTGATGTATCTACGAGAAAAATATATATACTTACTCCAAGTAAAGTTGAACTTGTGGTTGAGATACTACTGAGCTAACCATGGTACAGTTGGGGGCAAGCGTGTCTGAATCCAGAGATGCAAGTTAAATCCCATTTAATTTACCTCATTATTTTCTCACCTACATCTGTTGTGTATGCTTATACTCTATACAACATTCTCCGTTTTATTTCATAATTGTTATTACTACCATCTTTTCCTTATTTCACCTTCCCCTCTACCTGTATTATATTTTCGTGTGTGTGTGTGTGTGTGTGTGTGTGTGTGTGTGTACTTACCTAATTGTACTTACCTAATTGTGCTTGCGGGGGTTGAGCTCTGGCTCTTTGGTCCCGCCTCTCAACCGTCAATCAACTGGTGTACAGATTCCTGAGCCTATTGGGCTCTATCATATCTACATTTGAAACTGTGAATGGAGTCAGCCTCCACCACATCACTTCCTAATGCATTCCATTTGCTAACTACTCTGACACTGAAAAAGTTCTTTCTAACGTCTCTGTGGCTCATTTGGGTACTCAGCTTCCACCTGTGTCCCCTTGTTCGCGTCCCACCAGTGTTGAAAAGTTCGTCCTTGTTTACCCGGTCGATTCCCCTGAGGATTTTGTAGGTTGTGATCATGTCCCCCCTTACTCTTCTGTCTTCCAGTGTCGTGAGGTGCATTTCCCGCAGCCTTTCCTCATAACTCATGCCTCTTAGTTCTGGGACTAGTCTAGTAGCATACCTTTGGACTTTTTCCAGCTTCGTCTTGTGCTTGACAAGGTACGGGCTCCATGCTGGGGCCGCATACTCCAGGATTGGTCTTACATATGTGGTGTACAAGATTCTGAATGATTCCTTACACAGGTTCCTGAACGCCGTTCTGATGTTAGCCAGCCTCGCATATGCCGCAGACGTTATTCTCTTTATGTGGGCTTCAGGAGACAGGTTTGGTGTGATATCAACTCCTAGATCTTTCTCTCTGTCTGTTTCATTAAGTACTTCATCTCCTATTCTGTATCCTGTGCCTGGCCTCCTGTTTCCACTGCCTAGTTTCATTACTTTGCATTTACTCGGGTTGAACTTCAACAGCCATTTGTTGGACCATTCACTCAGTCTATCCAGGTCATCTTGTAGCCTCCTACTATCATCCTCTGTTTCAATCCTCCTCATAATTTTTGCATCGTCGGCAAACATTGAGAGGAACGAATCTATACCCTCTGTGTGTGTGTGTGTGTGTGTGTGTGTGTGTGTGTGTGTACCCGGGGTGGGGGTGGGGGGTGGGGTGGGAGTAGGGCCATGGGTAGGGGATACGAGACCAAACACACACATATAAGACCCAGACAACTCGTGGTCCCAAGACCCACATAAAAGAGTCCAACTGTTCACAGGTGAAGAGCAAGCAGTTACATATTTACCAAATTATTTTGTTATTAAATACGAACTTTTAAACCTATTGTTATCCAATCGTCTATTTAATAAATGTTTCTCGATTAACTATCAATTATATATCTATATAAAATTTGAATAATTATGAAACGGAATCAAATTATATATATATATGTACTGTACACTAGTGCAACTCTCACAATAATATGTTCTAAACAAAAAAAAATAATCCACCAAGAGAACAAAGAGAGGTCGAATTGTTAATAAAATTAGCTGGGACTTGCTCGTTGTACCGGAAGCAACACGAAGTGACGCGGTTCTTGAAATAATGATGTACCGGAAGCGACACTACCGGAAACGATGCTATATTGCAAGCAACACTGTACCGGAAGTGAACTTTCACAATCGAATGTTTTAAATCATACAGTTGTGAGACCCCCGGTACTGCCTCCCAGCTGTGAGACTCCCGGTACTGCCTCCCAGCTGTGAGACCTCCGGTACTGCCTCCCAGCTGTGAGACTCCCGGTACTGCCTCCCAGCTGTGAGACCTCCGGTCCTGCCTCAAACCAGCACGATTGACTATTGTAGTACAATAGCAATATTAGACATGAACGAGGCAGAGAGTAATGAACGACTGACTAGGCGCAATTAAAATGAGTGAAAGTTTAACTGTAAAACGTCTTCCTCCTTGATATGTACAGTAATAAAACTTTGATACAAACATACATACAAGTATAGTGTATAATATATATATATATATATATATATATATATATATATATATATATATATATATATATATATATATATATATATATATATATATATATATATATATATATATATATATATATATATATATATATATATATATATATATATATATATATATATATACATAATTAATATATATATATATTAATTATCTATATATATATATATATATATATATATATATATATATATATATATATATATATATATATATATATATATATATATATAGATAATTATACACACACACACAATTATCTGAAGCAATAAATTTGTAAACAAATCATAAGATCACAAAAAAATTCATAGCCACAGAAAACGTCTTGTGTGTTTTTATATACAGAAACCACTGATATCCAGAGCCGAGATGTTTGTCAGGGCTCTGTGATGTCCAGTAGTACACTCACGGCCCCACAGAGGCTGCAGAAGGGAGACTTTCAAACCAATGAATTCCCAACGTAACGCGTTTTATTTTCCTGTATTTGAAAGAGCGTTCTGCTTCCTGAACATTATCAGGCTTGGAATAGCTCACTATTATTGAACTTGGACTAGAATGTGTTGCTCGTTCACTTACACAGTCCGGCTCTGTGTATCTGGCCGTTAACCACTTGCATTACGTGGAGTGGGTGCCATGTTAGCGCACTGCCACGATTAAGAGGCGGATACAAGTACTTGAAATATATATATACATTGTATTTTGACCTCGTTACCAGAATCGTGACGGTAATTTGCCATCGTTATCAATTGTTCTTCAAAGCTCGACACCTTTAGTTACCAATTATGATATCATTACTATCATGTAATTAGCAATGCACTGCAGTTTTCGTTTTCCAGAACGAAGATCACAATATACACTTTTATAATACTTAAAATAACTAACATTTGTGTTATGTTCCCTTTCCCATTTAAATTTTCTAGTATTAGTTTTATAAGAAAGATTTTAAGGGTATAGAGTGAATATATTCATTCGTGTTATTTTCCTTTTCACAGTTGACGTCGGAGTTGTCGTCCGTCGTAAGTGCGAAAGAGAAGACTGCGGCTGGAGTGACACACGTCTCTATCGAAGCTGGCGTAGCCTCTTCGGGGAGTCGTCGGGAGGAGCTGACCCCCTTCCAGCTGGTTCATGTCCCCTTCTGAGAGTGCATGAGTCGTCCCATTTAGAGGCGGCACTCGACGGCCCCTTCGGGAGTGTAAACACAAGTCCCACCCGATGCTGGCCAAGGACCTCCGGGAGGGTACGCAAGCCCCCCGGAGGTTCTCCAGCAAGTCTCAGGTAACCGGAGAATAGCCCAAGTTCTTCCGCTGCAGGAACATGTGGATCTCCCGGAAGGTTGGGCGGTCGGCGTCTGAGCGCTTCCAGCATTCCCGCATCAGGTCGTAGATCTCCTTGGGGCAGTTGGCCGGCTGGGGAAGCAACACCTGCAGCAGAAGAAGAAAGGTTAGTTCCATGTCTTTAACAGAATTCTACTGTGATAAGTTACTGCATATCTTATTGCTAGGGCTTCTAGTTTTGATTCCCAGTAGCATCTATTTCGGACACTTGCACAGAGCTTTTCTGTCTTAAGATCTCTACCAATCATCATTCCCAGTTCTTTTAAACATCCAGAGTGGGCACTGTCAATATTGTTCTCATTTGTGATTTTCTGTCATCATCCTCAGACCCTAAACCGTACTATTGTCATTATTAAACTTCTGCCATTATTATTTTTAATTTTGTCTAAATTGTCTTGTAACAATTATTAGTTTTTTGGAAAAAATCCATACCTTCCATATGTGATCACTGTTCCCTAACTCTTCCCTATTTCCATGTTAAATATTGGCGGCTCCATGTTGAACACCACTAGGCCAAAATTATTATTTATCCGTGTCGGCTCCATCCCAGGCACAAAGAAGCCTGGGATGGAGTCCAGGAGAGAGATATGGAGAGATATTCTATGGTAAGAATCCTATTTTCCACAAAATGCAGAGTGCGTGTAACTAGAGGGATATCACGATAAAGCGCTGGCCAGCATGACTATATGACATCCGTAAGGGACATCAGGACAGGAGACGGGATAGGAGGATGGAGTAAAGGTACGGAACCCAACCGTTTGTACCATCGGGGATCGAACGCCGACCCTCCAGGAAGTGAGCATTGTCTAGTCTTTGTAAATGGAGTGTAATTAGGAGAGCACCATTTATGCAGGTAGTCAGACCAACATGTGTTAATATTTGTAACTGGAATATAGCTATGAATCTAACAGAATAGCAAAGGCAGTTAGTGATATTCGAGTTAATACAGTACCATTTGGTGGAGAAACTCTTAATTAGAACAACGCCATCTATGAATAAAAACCAGCAATTAGAAGGGAGTCATCTATTGCCGAGGTTTGTAATTAAAGCAGCGCTACCTGACGGAAAGATTCTTAATTAAAACAGCACCATCTGTTGGTAAGATTCTTAATTAGTTCAGTGTAATCAAGGCAATTCCAAAGCCATTTCCTATATTACTTGATAAGTAACAGTTTGTTTGAAATTATTCATTTCAGAAGAGGGACTGGTCAGGGACAGGGCCGTGGAGACGTTGAGCCTCGAAATCATCGCAGGGTAACCGCAAGGTAATTTTCACGCACAAAAATTTCTTCATCAAATAACCAGGAGGGTGGGAAGGCAGGAACCAGGAGTAAGGGGTAGTGAGCGATGGATGGGGAGCCGAGGAACGAGCCCTGCCTCATGACCTCACTCTGGCCAACAATGAGAGATTTGACGAGAATTTTCCAACATTTTTTTTGCATAGAATGATGAATGAACTGATTTTAATATTTTAAATGTTAACAAGGTCATTCACGAGGAGCTCAATGATGTTTTTTTTCCGATCCTAATCTTTCTGTTCATTCCATTAATTGACTTTCATTTCCCAGGGGAATCCCTTCACAAGCGTTCTAACCCTGACCATAAAAGTGGCTCATCCTCTTCCCCCTTGCATCTGACCTTCTTTATCTGGGATCTTGTGCGTTGTTACACACTCCTCAAGCCTTTGTTCCTTACCTGCTTCCTCCTTCACGCCTTGGTGTCTTACTCCATCCCACTCCTTTATTGCATGCCATCACTGCCTCTCCCTGGTCTCTCCTGTCACTCCCTCTTCTCCCCCCTCTCACCTTCCCCGTGCCCCCTCTCACCTTCCCCGTGCCCCCTCTCACCTTCTCCGTGCCCCCTCTCACCTTCCCCGTGCCCCCTCTCACCTTCCCCGTGCCCCCTCTCACCTTCCCCGTGCCCCCTCTCACCTTCCCCGTGCCCCCTCTCACCTTCCCCGTGCCCCCTCTCACCTTCCCCGTGCCCCCTCTCACCTTCCCCGTGCCCCCTCTCACCTTCCCCGTGCCTCCTCTCACCTTCCCCGTGCCCCCTCTCACCTTCCCCGTGCCCCCTCTCACCTTCCTGGCCTCGTTGTGGTAGATGAAGGAGACGTTCTCGATCACGAGGTCGTCAGTGAGGTCCTCGTAGGGTTGTTCCCGCGCCATCGTCAGTATCTCCCACAGCGTCACGGCGAAGGACCACACGTCACTCTTCGTCGTGAACTTGCCCTGCAACACCGTTCACGTTAGTACACGTCTCCACACCTGCAGCAGCAGCATCCACACCTGTTGCCTCTACCACACCTGTTGCCTCTACCATACCTGTTGCCTCTACCACCAGTGATGCCTACACGACCACACCAGCAGACTATACAAGCACCTAAACACAGTCATCACCAGTACTCAACCCACGTGACTCACCCGACGCACATTTCTTCAACACAGGATAAGGGATGAGGGTAGGGGATGAAGGTGAGGCTAGGGGATGATAGTGAGGCTAGGGGATGAAGGTGAAAATGGGGATGATAGTGATAGTTAATGAAACGGGATGAATCCAAGATCTAGGGATGAAAGTAGAGGAAGGATAAGGGTAGGCTCAGGATAAAATAATGAGGCTCATTTAAGGAATGGGTGAGGAAAGAGGAAGGAAAGGAGGAGAAGAATGAGGGGAAGGAGAGGGGGAGAGGAATTAGTTGAGGCGAGAGTAGGAGAGAGAGAGAGAGAGAGAGAGAGAGAGAGAGAGAGAGAGAGAGAGAGAGAGAGAGAGAGAGAGTAGAAAGTTGACCACAAGTCCCACCCCTGAAGTTCTGACATCATAATGAATGAGAGTTTTTACTTAACCCGTCGATAGTGCGAGGAGGAGGGAGAGGGGAGGGAGGAGAAAGAGGGAGAACATCAGGAAATCAAGGAGAGAATGAAAACAGAAGGAAAGGCGGGATGTAGGAAAGATTGAGAAAGAAAAAAACACAGAAGGGAAGAAATGCGCCACCACCACAACACACCTCTAAATCACAACACAGCTGCCATATCTGTGCAAGTGCCCCCCCCCCACCCCCTTCCCCGGAGGTGTAGATGCCCAGCTCTTAAGATATAGAGGGTAGAGGTATACTAGGCGAGCCTGAGCTTGCGGAGATACACACCCCCGCCGCCCATATCACCCTCCAGGGAGTACTGTCGAGACGCTACTGGTAAACCCAGTCGACGCGCACACCGACCTCCTAAACCCGCCCACCATACGTGGGGTCTCCAGGCGTCTTGAGTCGTGTTTATTTATGGCAGTGTGGAGGCGGCAGGTGGCGTGGGGTGCTGTCCCAGTCTCCTGGATCTCTCCCCTCTGTCTTACGATTCATTCCCAGACATGCAGCAGTCTTACGGCCAGAGTCATGCGACAGTGAGAATACACCCCGCCTCATTGTCGCTCAAAGACACATTTCTTCCTACTGATACACAGATTCTTGGTGATGTGGGTTGTTCATCCTGTTAGCGAATGGCAGCTGTCGCCAGTCTTATGGGAAAGTTCACTCGTCAGGGAGGACAGGTTCACTCATCACAGAGGACAGGTTCACTCATCACAGAGGACAGGTTCACTCACCACAGAGGACAGGTTCACTCATCACAGAGGACAGGTTCACTCACCACAGAGGACAGGTTCACTCACCACAGAGGACAGGTTCACTCACCACAGAGGACAGGTTCACTCACCACAGAGGACAGGTTCACTCATCACAGAGGACAGGTTCACTCACCACAGAGGACAGGTTCACTCATCACAGAGGACAGGTTCACTCACCACAGAGGACAGGTTCACTCACCACAGAGGACAGGTTCACTCACCACAGAGGACAGGTTCACTCACCACAGAGGACAGGTTCACTCACCACAGAGGACAGGTTCACTCATCACAGAGGACAGGTTCACTCACCACAGAGGACAGGTTCACTCATCACAGAGGACAGGTTCACTCATCACAGAGGACAGGTTCACTCACCACAGAGGACAGGTTCACTCACCACAGAGGACAGGTTCACTCACCACAGAGGACAGGTTCACTCACCACAGAGGACAGGTTCACTCACCACAGAGGACAGGTTCACTCACCACAGAGGACAGGTTCACTCACCACAGAGGACAGGTTCACCCACCACAGAGGACAGGTTCACTCATCACAGAGGACAGGTTCACTCACCACAGAGGACAGGTTCACTCACCACAGAGGACAGGTTCACCCACCACAGAGGACAGGTTCACTCATCACAGAGGACAGGTTCACTCACCACAGAGGACAGGTTCACTCACCACAGAGGACAGGTTCACTCACCAGCAGTACAGACTCCCAGGCCATCCACCGTATAGGAAGCAGCGCCTTGCCCTCGATCCTGTAGTAGTCGCCAGCGTACAGGTTGCGACTCATACCGAAGTCAGAGATCTTGATGACGTGGCCGGCCCCCACCAGGCAGTTCCTGTGTGGGCAACATCAACACAGTCTGGGAGACCAACTACAATCCCACACAATATCAACGATAAATCAAGTAATGAAATGGATAAGTGTTGGGCTAATTAAGGGGTGTATTCTATTTCCTCTCCGTATAAAATGCAGTGGTTTACGCTAACCCAAAGCGTCAGAACCTATCCTACTTCTTTAACCTACTGAAGGCGATAATCAATTGGCGTATAAAGCGTCAGTATTGTGGTGTTTTCATTTTCTTAAACCACCGTAATTTTTACGCCAAGGTTGACTGCGTAAGAAATGTAGTCCCTCGCTGAGGACGCACTACTGAGAGGAGATTGACAAAGGCTGATTATAAGCCAGTGATTATCTAGGCGATGAGTCACAATAATGTGGCTGAAGAATGTTGACCAGCCACGACTTGAGAATGGTCCAGGACGGACCGAAACGTCGTCGTCCCTTCACCTTCTAGTGTGTGGTCTGGTCAACAGTAATTACCTAAATCCTGAAGGACCATCTAGCAAGGCTGACGATGAACGGTATTATAACATATTAGAAACTGTTGAAGTTGACACGATTGTGAATATGAAGTATTTGGAAGGTATTGTGAAGAGAGGCAGAAGAGGCCTTGCTGCTACACGACCCGGGGGTAAGAGGCGTCGGGTACGAGCGGCCAGAACCCGACCCTGACGACGAGGGGCTCTGGGAAAAGCTTAAATCCGGATCCCGTTTTATGCAAATGTCAGCCCTGGGAATTTATAACTGGAGAGGTTGTTAAAAAGTTTTTATATCGCATATTAAACAGGGTCAGAGGACAAGATGACGGATCTCTCAACACGAAAAAAAAGGTTCTGCAAAAAATCTATTAAATTAAACAAAGGTTTCGAATGCTTCATTAGGAATGGTAGTTTCTGCACCCAAACTATTAAGCCACAATGACTACATAACACTTAAGGGATATGAGCACTAGGAGCTAGGCTATGAGCACGGAGATACGGGACGCTGCCCCTTACACATGCACCATCGGGGATTGAGCACCGTTCCTGCAAGAAGTCACAATTTAATTATTTCTTGTTGCATATATTAATTAACTCAGTGACATTAGAAAGAGGAGTGGGCCTCGTGTCTACTGGCCATCTTTATGTGTATGAAGTACATAAACACACACATACATAAACATATGTAGCAGATATTATAGAGGAAAATAGGTCGGGAATCTTACATTAGACAACCAACGATTAAAAAAAGGCGGGGACCAAGAGCTAATAGCTTGATCCTGCAGGTACAAACAGTAAACACACACACAGTTGTAACAACGATGTGTAACTATTGGGTAGTTACTCCTGGAACTACACTATTTAATTGTATTTAATGGGTAATGGGTTACCTGTAATAATGGGTTATGCAGGTGTAACCCATTAGTGTCTGGCACTCGTCACCGTGTCCAGCCCTTACTACTGGCTTGGTGCTCCCTGGTACTAACGTAGCACCGCTTTGGTTGTTCTTGGTACTAACATGACCCTCGTTCCCCTGTACTAACCTGATAGCCCCTGGTACTAACCTGGTAGCCCCTGGTACTAACCTGGTAGCCCCTGGTACTAACCTGGTAGCCCCCGATACTAACCTGGTAGCCCCTGGTACTAACCTGGTAGCCCCTGGTACTAACCTGGTAGCCCCCGATACTAACCTGGTAGCCCCTGGTACTAACCTGGTAGCCCCCGATACTAACCTGGTAGCCCCTGGTACTAACCTGGTAGCCCCCGATACTAACCTGGTAGCCCCTGGTAGCCCCTGGTACTAACCTGGTAGCGAGGTCTCTGTGAACAAAGTTGAGTGACTCCAAGTACTTCATCCCTGAAGCAATCTGTGTGGCCATATATATAAGGCACCCGTAGCTGTAGGGAGAGGAACAAGGGGCATCAGCATACTCCCATATATCACCCACAGGTATAACAACACCGGATAATGATCTTCCCCTCCCATGGTGACCCGGTGGCCCTCACCTGAGCGTTTTAGCGTGGGTGTTCCTGGGGGAGGCGGTCTCGGCGATGTGTGCCTGGAGGTACTGGTTGAGGTCGCCGTGCTCCATGTACTCTACGAGCATGCAGAGAGGCTCCTCCCTCGAGCACACCCCCACCACCTGCACGATGTTGGGGTCTCGCAGGCGCGCCAGGATCTCCACCTCGCGCTCGAAGTCGCACCTGCGGCAGGTGTGTTGTTACGAGGGTGGGGGTACAGTGTGGTGGGTGGGGGTGGGGTGGGGGTACAGTGTGGAGGGTGGAGGTACAGTGTGGTGGGTGGGGGTACAGTGTGGTGGGTGGGGGTACAGTGAGGGTGGGTGGGGGTACAGTGTGGTGGGTGGGGGTACAGTGCGGTTTATCAGAGTTCTTAAAAACAATACCGAAACCAAACTTAAATATTCCTGGGCCCAGTATAGCACAGATATGTACTATATTAGGCCTGAGATAGTGTGGATTAGAGCACCGACTTACCTGACGGAATGAGAAGCTTCGAGTCTCAAAGTTTTCACCGCCACCATCTGCTTCTCCCCTTCCTCGTCCTCCACCTCGCCCAGGTGCACCTGTAGAAGGAGACAGGTGGTTAGCCCCCGTGGAGACCCACCTGAGGCCTCCACACTAATACAAGAAACCCCAGCAAGGCTGAACATATACACACAATTCAAACAGGAATTAGATGATATGACCTCGTGGAATAGACAGTGAGAGAAGCCATCATAAACCACAGGACCTACCTCACCAAACTGGCCCTCACCCAGCTGCTGGAGAAGGGTGATGGCCAGTCTGGGGATCTCCCTAGCCTTCACCTCCTCGATGGGCGCCGTCACGCTGCTTGCCGCCCCCTGCTTCACGCCCCCGCCGCCCACGCTGCTGCCGCTGTTGCTGCCCTGCAGGAGGAGACCAGACAACCATCTGTGGTAACACTCGGACCTCACTGTAAGAGTGCGCCGGTGCAGTCATCGGGAGGACAATCCCTTCATGCAAACTGCACCACTATCAAGAAGAACAGCGAGAGTGCTAGTTATTTATGCCTTTATAAAGAGGGCTTGTTGAGCTGAGAGGAGAAAAGGACGTTGGGAGCTGAGGGAGAGGTAGGAGAAAAGACGGGGAGCTGAGAAAGAATAATTAACCAAGAAGGAAGAACCAAATAATAAAGTCCATAAGAGTGGGAGAAAAAGAGAAACAACAACAATGGGAGACACGCCGGATTATGATTAATCTCTGATAAACTAAGGTGGATTAATGGTAGATTATGTAGATAAACTGAGTAAGATGTAAGGTAGATTAGAGATATATAATGTGGAGGTATGGTAGACAAGACAGTTGTATACAATTTGTGTAAGATTACTTGCAATTTAAACTAAGGTAGATTAGAGGTAGACAAGTTCACTGGTATATAAAGTAGATTTGTGAGATATAGGTTTCTGAAGAGCTTGTAATACACAACTACAAGTTACAAGGCATTACACAAGAGAGATCAACCTTTGGGCCTCAACTACACACCTAATTACTATCTGTACAAAATACAGTATCACCACACACCAGACTTGAATATTCAGACGTATACACTTACCTGGGACACACCTGCATACACCACTGGTATACACTTACACCCCTGAGCAACACTAACACAACTCGCATACACCTACACCGCTGGGGAATACACACTGGCCCATATACACCTCAGATTTACATTTACACTTCTGGGATTTACTCGCATACACCGCTAGGACACAGTTACAGCCCTGTAAATACACCGAAACAAAGCCGCCATGACAGATACGATACACAGGTTTCGTAACCACCATCGCTAACTCACCGCAACGATCTCAGTCGCAGCGTAGAAGCTCTCCTGCGGCTGCTGCGACGCTGAGGGCGGGATGGGCGAGGGTGTGTGCTTGCACAGAAAGGTGTTGAGGGTGTGGAGAGGCGGCTTGGAGTGTGGAAGGGGCGGTGGATGGTACACGCTCCCGTCCGCCCCCAGGTGCGGGATGGCGTACTCCGTCGATGGGCACTCTGTACCTCGAAGGAGGGAGTGCAAGGTTGTAATAATAGTTTGATTAATCACTGCAAAGGAATTGCTAATCAATTAAATATTCGCTGCGAGGTGGTAGAAGAGGAATTACTGAGAGTTTGTAGGTGAATCATCATTTGGAAATATAGTTACTTTTCTTAAATGATCACCAGACATTATAGAGACCTTAAATTATCACTTGACATTATAGAGACCTTAAATGATCACCAGACATTATACAGACCTTAAATTATCACTTGACATTATAGAGACCTTAAATGATCACCAGACATTATAGAGACCTTAAATTATCACTTGACATTATAGAGACCTTAAATGATCACCAGACATTATAGAGACCTTAAATTCATCACTTGACATTAGAGACCTTAAATGATCACCAGACATTATACAGACCTTAAATTATCACTTGACATTATAGAGACCTTAAATATCACCAGACATTATACAGACCTTAAATTATCACTTGACATTATAGAGACCTTAAATGATCACCAGACATTATACAGACCTTAAATTATCACTTGACATTATAGAGACCTTAAATGATCACCAGACATTATACAGACCAAAAATTATCACATTATACAGACCTTAAATGATCACCAGACATTATATAGACCTTAAATTATCACATTATACAGACCTTAAATTATCACATTATATAGACCTTAAATTATCACATTATACAGACCTTAAATGATCACTTGACATTATATTTACCTTAAATTATCACCAGACATTAAATAGACCATAAATTATCACATTACATTAATTTATCACGAATTATCAGTTGTGTGTGAGTTGATACGCTTTTGATAGTGTGTGCGTACAGCTGGTGACCTCATACTTAGAGTCGTGGTATGTTGTATGTCATTCACATGGGAGTATGTTGGGTAGGAACGTTTCTCTCCTCCACGTGGGGACGGAATCTCTCTCTTTGCAAGACGTTTATCTAATTTTTCCCCAGGTGATGAGAGAAAAACACTAGTAGCTAAGGCAAGTTGAAAGGTGAGGACGGTGAGCGTATATATATACAGACATACACTACATACACGCAGACACGCTCAAACAACACGTACGACAGACAAACAGGAATTGAGTCGTATATGTCGATGTTTGCGGATGATATAAAAAGTAAAGAGACGAGTTTTGACAGATGAGGAATGTAGGATCCTCCAAGAGGACTTTTCAAGTTACAGGAAACACGTGTGAAACGCGAGTGAAACTATTGAAACCACCAGTGAAACGCTGTTGAAACACGAGAGAACACGAGTAAAACAATGAAACACGTGTGAATTGTGACACTTATTAACAAATATATAAGTGACACAATTTCTGAATTGCATAAATAATACGAGGAAAAAACTTTCACAATATAACACGCAAGCTTGACTGTAATCTGATCCTTAGGCAAATTTGCAATGTATTTCTCTTGTTCGAGAGCTGTTCGAACGTCAGCAGTTGAGAGCCGTGTGTGTAAATCTTCTTGTTCACACAAACAAGGGGTTTTGGTGGCTGGATTAATGAGCATTTGGTCTTTGTTGACGAGGATAATCTGAAAATTCGCCACAGTTCAAGGTCTTTTATAACAGATTCGAACACTTGGGATTCGAACATGTTACGTTCGCTTTTGTAACGTGGGGGGGGGGGGTAAATGGAAGATTTTTGTTTGTGTTGTATGGTTTCCCGACCAGTGTATTGTGTTTGTTTCTTGTTTGTTTGTTTGTATGATTGTGGTGAGTGTGGCCTCTCTCTCTCTCTCTCTCTCTCTCTCTCTCTCTCTCTCTCTCTCTCTCTCTCTCTCTCTCTCTCTCTCTCTCTCTCTCTCTCTCTCTCTCTCTCTCTCGAGCTCTCCCCCTCATCTATATTGATCTCTCTCATCTATATTTATCGCGTTTATATTTCTATCTCTCATCTATATTTCTCTAGTTCTCTCTCTGGGCTCTGTTGCTATGACGTCAGAGGCACAGCTACACTGTGATTGGTTAACGTTCTAACAGTCTTCAATTTGAACGCTGATATTTCTCTCTTTTTCTTTCCTCCCACTAGATATTTTTCCCTCTAAATTTTCTCTCTCCCTCCCTCTAGATTTCTCTCTCCCCTAGATTTTTCTCCTCACTTTTTCCCTCTCGCATTTTCTGTGTCCATTTCTGCCTTTTTTGCCCCCCTTTCTTTCTCTCTTCACATTTATCTTCCTATTCCCCTTCTGTCTAGCCTCATATCCCTTTCTGCTTCAATTTCCACGTCCCAATACCTCGGCTTTCCTATTCCAGCAAATTCTGCGCTTTTTCCCTTCATTTTGTTTGTGGTTTTTCATTGTGCCTTTTCTCCTTTCAATCTGGTTCCTCCTTTGTTATGGATATAACTTTAAAGTTATGGGTACAAACAATTGGGGTCTGACGGCTGAGTGGATAGCGCTCGGGATTCGTAGTCCTAGGGTCCGGTGATCTATCCCCGGCGATGGCGGAAACAAGTGGGTAGAGTTTCTTTCACCCTGTTCACCTAGCAGTAAATAGGTACCTGGGAGATAGACAGTTGCTACGGGCTTCATGGGTGTGTGTGTGGGGGAGGGGGGGGGAATTGATTGGCAGTTGAGAGGCTTGCCTAAAGAGCCAGAGCTCAACCCCGGCAATCACAACTTGGCGAGTACAGATACACACTGTTAAAATGTCTGTCCAAAGTTGTAGGGCAGATGCTTGCAGGTAGCCATACCCAAATTTGTAAGGGGGAATGGTGTGGGGTGTGGGGTAGACATAGGATGGTCGGGATATACCCCAAGTTAAATGCTTTTAAAAAATATAACGTGTAGGCAACACCGAAAGTGATTTTCATGAAGTCTGAGAGGAATCTGGGATGAAATCGGGGATGTGATGTCCGTAGATTATGAGGTTTCTGTGAAGTTACTCTACCAATATTAGGTTACGAGGTTAAGGGTCCACTTACGGTTAAGAGGTTAAGTGTGTGTGTGTGTGTGTGTGTGTGTGTGTGTGTGTGTGTGTGTGTGTGTGTGTGTGTGTGTGTGTGTGTGTGTGTGTGTGTGTGTGTGTGAGCTACCCACTTTCACGACATGGAGATAGTGGTTACGGCTTAAAGCTTTCTCCTGACAGTTCCCTTCCCATCCCCCTTCCTCCCTACGGTCTATCTCAAATTACATAAAATAATTTCAAAAAAATAAAATTAAAGTGAAAACTAATCATGGGAAATAATTTAACAATCGTATAATCTATTGCGATATATTCTTTGTTGGTGGGAGTTATAGCGGTGTTTGAGATGGTCTGTTTGTGGCTGTATGGAGCCCTGGGTGGAGCCCTAAGTGCCCTGCTGAGCGAATTGTGGCACCGGCGGCAGTCGTCCTACGCCCTCGTGGAGAGCCTCGTGGAGAGCCTCGTGGACGAGATACTCCTCCAGACCAGCCTGACGGACCACGAGTCCTCGGAGGATGGCCAGGCCGCACCACCAACTGCCGCTGACGTGTCCTCGCAGCGCTCAACTAACCACACGACTGATCTCGTCCCCACGTCCAGTGACCTCGTCTCCGGGCGTCTCCGTGAGGACACGGAGGCTCCTCCTTCAGGATAAAGCCCGCCTTCGTCAGGTCGATGCCGTCCTGCGGCAGGTTGATGCCACCGTCCGTTAGGATGAGACCATCCTCCGACAGAATCATGCCGACATGCGTCAGGATGAATCGGACAGTGACTCGGGCTGTGAGACGGACGGTCTCTCGCGCGGTGACTGGATCTATGGCCCGGACTCGGACGGTGACTCTGACTTGGACTTGAACTTGAACTATTAGGTTGAAAAATGGATGGTGTCCAGAAGTCATAAGCGGTATACTAGGATGGAGTTCGGTACTGTGAAGGGTGGTGTTGTGGGGTTGTGAAGGCTGCTAATCACCACAACAAAACTGCCTTTAATTTTGGACTGTTTGCAAAATGAAACTACAATATTTTTTGGGCATCTTTGCTTCCTTAGCTTGAATCTGTGTCATTCTGTCCGTGAAGTTGCTAGTTTCAGGATTACTTCTCCCCCGAATCAACCTACCCCTGGCTTTGAGGCCTGTTGGAGCCACTCCAGACCAGGCCGACATCAGAGAGCAACTCCATAGTCTCCTGAGACTGACGGATGCCTACTATTGGTCAATTGAGGCGAGTCCTCTTATTATTTTGTAAGTGGTGATCTTGATCATTTATGACCAAGTGATGATCAACGCCATACACACACACACACACACACACACACACACACACACACACACACACACACACACACACACACACACACACACACTAAACAGGATGCCCTGCGACTCCCAGTGTAGTCTGACCACCACCCAATTCACTCCCTCTCCCCCACATCCCTCCTGTTTACCCCCCCCCCTTCAATCCACCCTCCCCTTTCCCCCTATTTTCCCCCACGGACCCCCTGTCTCCCTCAGCCTCCTCTCCCTTCCTTCCTCCTCCCTTTCCTGTCTGGCCTCGAAAGGACAGACATTTCCATTTAATACTGAATAAATTCATCACTTTCGTATGAATAAATCTAACGACTCTCTCAAACACATTTCCCATATTTTGTGGTGTTCACTATTGGGCTTTATCTCCTTATTATGACCAATAGTACCCTCATTCAGCCTATGTCCCTCCCAGACCCATAACCATTCACACTGGAAATTTTGGTGAGGCTAGCCCCAAACATCTGGCCTCTTAATCTTGGACACACACATTCTCTCTTGCTCTCTCTCTCTCTCTCTCTCTCTCTCTCTCTCTCTCTCTCTCTCTCTCTCTCTCTCTCTCTCTCTCTCTCTCTCTCTCTCTCTCTCTCTCTCTCTCTCTCTCTCTCTCTCTCACTAAGCATTTAACTTAGACCGTCCTCGACCAGCCTATGTCCATCCCATACCTCCAGACCATTCACCTACTGCAAAGTTGGTGAATATATATACATTCTTTCAATAGAATGTATTGAAAGAATGTTCAATATCATT